TTGCAGGCTTTAGTTCTGGCTAATATAGATAAGTTCTGATTGTTAACAATGGGATAACCCAAATTATCCAGGAAACTGAGCATCGCAACCAGTGTGTGCATTGTACATGCAGGCTGGCTTTGCTGAACCTAAAAACGCTGTGCTGGCATACTGGAAGGCTTTCATGGGCCACACACATGATCTTGGGAGCCACACCCTGTGGAATAACTGGCCTTCATGATCCTTCTGTTATGGGCAGTGCAGAAATTCTCAAGGACTTTTTTTTTTTAAGAGATGGAGTCTCTTAAAAACCTGGAGCGCAGTGGTGCAATCACAGCTCGCTGCAGCCTCAGACTCCTGGACTCAAGCCATTTCCTTGCCTCAGCCTACCAAGTAGCTGGGACTACAGGTGCATGCCATCATACCCAGCTAATTTTTTAACTTTTGGAGAGATATGGTCTCACTCTGTGAGCCTTTGACTTTCTTCTTTGGGTAGCCAAATCCAAGCCCAGGTCAGGTAAAATGCTTCATCTAATCATTCATCTCGGCAGAGTGGCTGCCACCAGAAGAGATTACAACTGTCTTTGTAATTAGAATCATTCATATGGGGAACACTAGATGTAAAATATGAAAGGAGAAGTTGAGCAAAGTAAAATTCCAAAGACCACAAAAGTTCTAATCTAAAACTTGGTGAGAAAAGGGGATATCCTGTCGATTTTATTATTCTAAGTAAGAGCTATTGCAAAGCGATCTGCTGCCTCTCTGCATCACTAAAGTGAAAAGCATGTCACTTGAGTTTCTGGTTCCTCCAAGATGGTAGCATCGGGGCTTAGCACACTGGCAAGTTCTAAAACCATAGCATTTTTTAAAGTTAAGTCAATAGCTGACAGCACTGCATCTGGCTCAACATTTGGAAAGAGCATCTCTTGCAGGGGATTAAAGCAACAGCATTTTGTTAAAAGAAGATAGCTAAGTATTCCATAAAAGTATATCCTTCTAGAACATCTTCATCAGAATCCCTGGCAAGTTGATTAAAAATGTGGTTTCCCCTCAGAATTATTAAAGCAGACTTTTAAAAATCGTTACCCACATTGAGCAATACTTTGACATTAAGACTGGGTGTCTGCTTTGGGAAATACTGTTTTCCACACCACTCTTCTCTTTCATGTTTTAAACAGCTGGTCTTGACCTACTAAAATGATACCATGATCCTCTCATGGGTTACAATCCTAAGTTTAAAAAACACTTCTCTGGTTGACTAGAAGGAACCAGAACTAGAGTTGCACAATTAGTAGCAAACACTTCAGGCTTTGTGATGCAGAGAGGGTTTATTAATCCACATTTTCCAAATTTAACAGAATATCTTATAAACCAAACTATCTACTTGGACGGTTTCAGGCACTAAAAAGTGGTTACAAGCTTGAGTTACAAACCATAATGGTATCTACTGTCTTACATCTGGAAGGGAAATGTTACCTCCATAAGAACAACCACCTTTAACCCTTGAGCATTAGGCAAGATGATGAAGTAAGCAAAGTGTGTGATCAGGAGAGCTCCTTGCTTCGCCCCAGGCCACATCCTCTGGCAAAGGCTTCAAAGCCCTCCCTTTCCCCACCCTCCCCACCCACTCACACCAAACACCCAAAGGGGGTAAATTACTTTGAAACACTCAAGTACTGTTTTGTTTTCAATACAGTAATTTAGTAAATGTTCAAGACTTAGCTGCACTTGCAGAAAACCTTCCTCTGTTTTCTCACTTTCATTTTCCTTCTCCTAGGCATTTCTCATCTCCCCTCCCTTACAGCCTCCTTTCTTAGCTTCCATATTGCAGGAGGGCAGAATGAGTTACAGCAGACACCTCTGACTTCACTCCCCTTATAATAATGCCCTTCCTCCTAGGCTAAAGCAACACAGACTTCTTTAAAAGACCTTATCCAAGGAGAGGGATGAAACACCAGATCTGGAATGGTTGTGTTACTAAGTATACTGGTTGTCTAATCTCCCAAGGAATCACCTCTGTTCCTTTCTTCAGGCTGAAATTCTAAGGGAGAAGCTAACTCAAGGAAGAACAGGTTTAAATGAAAAGGGGCCTGGCATAGGGGAGAGGCCAGGAAAAAAACAAAACCCATTACTTGGGCTTCTCATTTGCACTAATGCTGCAACATTTTCCTGGTATAATTTCCTGGTGGACCTCTCCCAATATAGCCACCTCTCAGTCAGTCTACAAACACTTATTGAGCACCGATGTCAGGCTAAGAATCCATCTAGTTTCTGGAGCTGTAAACAAGACAAGATAGTCACTACCCTCATGGAACTTCTGCTCTAACAGGGAGAGAGACAATACTCAAATACACAAATGACTGTATAACATCAGGGAGTAAAAGGTACTAAGACAAAAAGCAGTAATGTAAGAGGCCCAGGGAGTGTCTGGTTGCTATTTAAATATGGGGTAGCCAGGGAAGGCCCCCTATAAGCTGACAACTGGGCTAAGACCTGAAGGAAGCATGGGAAGTAAGCCATCCGGACATATAGGAGAAAAGCTCCTCCTGTAATATCATGTGCAAAGGCCCTGGGGACAGAACTCAGTGAAAAAGAAGAATGTAAGGCAGTGAGGGTGGCTGCAGTTACCAAGGACAGTAAACACGGCCATCATTAGAACTGCCCATCTTCTTGCCCAATGACTGCTCCAGGCAAGATCCCCCAGATTCCAATCCAGGTCTGCCTCCCAGCCCGCCCCTCCCTGATACCTACCATCCATCTTGTTCCCCAGTTCACTACCCTCCTGACATAACCCCTCCTCAAGAGTCCCAGCAGTCCAGGCCATTCCCTCACAATTTACCAATCTAATTAAAAACGAACAAAACAGAGTAGAAAAAAAGGCAGCACGCTCATTTAATCACAGCCTTAGGTACAGGGAATGTACAATGGTAAAGAGTAAAGGTTAAAAAAGTCAGTTATAAGAAAAATTAAAATTCTGCCATGTGCCTGCAGGGGATCTGGCCTCCTAACTTACCATTATTTTCCCCCAGATCTGTAAATTGGGGGACAATAATCTTTGAAACAACCTTGGAAAAGTAGGCATGGAGGTGAGATAATACGAGAACCCTGGCCAGAGGAGGTCCCAAAAACAGCTGCTGCCAGTCTGCAATCTCAAAGTGACCCTGAGAAGGATTAGATCTCTCTATGTCCCAAAGTTGCTCGCAGGGTTTTGGTATTTAAATACAGGTCATTAATGACTTTTATAGAAGCAAAAGAGAAAGACTCAGATATTCTTTCACAGCCTCATCCCCAAGTCACTGGCAGCGCCCAACGGGGAGCCTCTGCCTCTGGGGGCC